GGGGTTGCGACCCCTCACCGCCCCCTCCTCTGACGTGCTCCCCATTTTGGGGGGGGAATCCCCGAAGGTGGCCAAGCGGCGCGGGGGGCCGGGGGCCGAGTCCCCAGGCGTGCGTGGCACTCCCCGGATCGGAGCCCGGACACTGGAGGGGTGCCGGCCGCCCCCGCCCCCCGACGAGGGAGGTGTGGTCGGGACCCAGCGCCGGAGTCCTTTAGTGGAGTCCCGCAGCCTCGCGGGGTCCGCGCTCTCCCCCTTCCCGGACCCCCACCCCGGGGGGGCACTTTAGCCTGGGACCCCCAGCTTTCCGCTCTGACCCGAGGCTGGAGTGGGGTCCCGGGACTCGGCGCCTCGGCTCGGCCGGCTTTGCCAATCAGCAGCCCCCAAGGCACCGCTGGCCACGGGGACGCGCTCCCGGGCGGCCATCGGGGGCTGCCCCCCTTCCTCTTCACCCTCCTCCTCTCTCCTCCCCTTCCCCTCATCCTTCTCCCTCCCCCTCCCCCTTCCCTCTCTTCCCCTCCCCTTCCCCTCATCCCCTCCCTTCTCTCCCCTTCCCTCCCCGTTTTCTCCTCTACCTCTTCTCTTCCTTTTCCCTCCCTTTCCCTCTCCTCCTCCTTCACCTCCCTCCTCTTACTTTCCTTCCCCTCCTCTTTTCCCCCTCCCCTCCCTCCCTTCCTCCCTCCCTCCCTCCTATCCTCCCTCCCTCCCTCCCTTCCTTCCTTCCTCCCTCCCTCCCTTCCTTCCTTCCTTCCTTCCTTCTTCCCTCCCTCCCTCCCGTCTGTGTCAGGTGTCAGGTTCTCTATGGGGTCATTTCCCACCCCTGCCAGTGGTACCCCGGCAGGGTAGGGGAGGCCGAGGGTGACCCCTCCTCCCTGGGCCTCCTCCCAGGCTTCCTGCGCGCGGGGCCGCTCTGGCGGTGGTTCCCTGGCCACTGACCAGCGTTTCCCTGCCCGTTACCGTGTCCTTAGCCACGGTTGGGCACCCACAGATGGAAGACTCGCGGCTGGCTTGCTGTCCTCCGCCGCTGAAGGGAGGGGGCAGACTTACATCATGCTATACTGACGCAGGACCGGGAGGAGAGGCAGCATCTGGCACTCCGAACCGGGGCACTGTCCGAAGCTCTTTCACTCAAGGCTGGTGCTCTACTACTGACTACCTAGGCTGCCTGCAAGCTGTGATCCTCAGATCTCAGGATTACAGGTGTGAGTTACCATGGGCAGCTCCACACAGGGGTCTGATGGGGGAGAGCACAAAGCCCAAAGTGTGGGGGCTCTTAGTGATCACCTGTCCCTGTGTGTGAGAGAAACAGAGATGGGGGGGCATTTTACAGCAGAAGATGAGATTTCTTAGAAACCAAATTATTCTTCTGCTCAGTAACTGTCAGTGGGGCTGGCAGTTCACACCAGTAATCCTACCTACTCCGAAGGCTGAGATCAGAGAGAGGATCGTGATTAGAAGCCAGCCCAGGCAGACAAATCCCTGAGACTTTTATCTCCAGAGAACCAGCCAAAAGCTAGAAGTGGTGATGGGGCACAAAGGGTAGAACACAAAAGCCAAGCAAGAGCATGAAGTTCAAGCCTCAGTTACATAGCACAACAACAAAACAAAAACAATTAACAAATAATCTCAATGCCTGTCCAGCTGCTGGCAAACAATTCCTTTACTAACAGGTCTCAGTTTTACTAAGAGTTCTTGTTTCTCGAGCTCACTCGTAAAGTTATTATTTTACTGTTCAACTCTTCTCAGAGTTGGGGTTTCGATGTTTGTGTTTTGCCTGACCTTTCCTGTCCTCTCTGTACTGTGTACAGCAAGCAGCATTGATTTTGGGTAATGTATTTTGATTTTAAGACGCAGCCCATCCATAAGCTTTTCTATCAATAACTCTGGCACTCCGCATACCAGACAGCTTAGGGCAAAATAGCAGATTTATGGGACTTTTATTTTTGGCCAATTTCGCCATTCATTTGCCATCAATGTCAGAGGATTTTTTTTTTTTTTTGGGTGCTGGTATTAAGGTTTGAACTCAGGGTTCTGTCCCTTAGCTTGCTTGCTTGCTTGCTTGCTTGCTTCCTTCCTTCCTTCCTTCCTTCCTTCCTTCCTTTCTTTCTTTCTTTCCTTTTTCTTTCCTTTGCTGGTTGTTTTGTTTTTGCTTTTGGGCTTGAACTCTGAGCCTGAGCCCTGTCCCTGAGCGTTTTTGTTTTGTACAAAACTAGTGCTCTACCACTTTAGCCACAGCAACATTTCTGGCTTTTTCAGAGTAGTTAATTGGAGATAAGAGTCTCTTGGATTTGTCTGCCTGGGCTGGCTTTGAACTGTGATCCTCCCTTCTTATTCTCTTGAGTAGCTAGGATTAGAGCTGTGAGCTATAGGTCGGGGAGAAGGTGGAGATACAGTTTTGAGTAGAGTCTCAAGAAGACATAGTGTGAGTGAAGTGTGGGAGCAGAGGGGTCTGGTCTGTTTGGCTATACAGAAACTTCTGGGGATGGATCTTGAGGGAAAGGAGATGGAAAGTTCCAGAACCTAGGGGAAGTCAAGCAAAAGGCTCTCAATTTTGCCTTCTTGTATCGCAACTTCGCACCAATGGGGAATGTCAAATTCTGGTCACAGAACAACCAGGCATGGAGACAGAAGCGGCACCTCCCTGCCCACTAGCCCCAAGGCCCTGGGCACTCAGTCTGGGCTCAGATAACTGAGGGAAAGGGCCGCAGCTGTCAGGAGTCCTCAGGTCTGGCCTGTCAGTGCTCCTGGTCTAACGCCTGAGGCTTTTTGTTTGTCACATAAGATTGCTTGGACTCAGAGACAGACTAGAGGAGAGCCATGAAGAGAGAAAAACTTGGAAACACACACCCAACCTTTCTTCAGCCATTTCTACTGAGAACTTGATCCGATCTGTGAGAAAAACTGTCTTTTTTTTTTTTTTTTAAATCAAAGTGTGTTGCTTGGAAGTTCCTGCTTTAAGCCTGGTGTCCGTGGCTCTCGCCTGTAGTCCTAGGTACTCAGGAGGCTGAGATCTGAGGATCGAGATTCGAAGCCAGCTGGGGCAGGAAAGTCTGTGAGACTCTTATCTCTAGTAAACCAGTAGAAAACCACAAGTGGCACTGTGGCTCAAGTGGTAGAGCTCTTGCCTTGAGCTGAAGAGCTGAGGGATAGCGCCCAAGCCCTGAGTTCAAGCCCCACAATAGACAAACAAACAAACAAAAAATCTCGAACATGTAGCAGAGTCTGTGGAATGGAGAGGGTTGATCCCAGTCAGGACCGGGATGGTGAGAAATGCCCAGGAAGACAGAATCATGGGTAGAATTGAGGACCATACGAAACAGGCTATTGCTCTGAACTTGGGGACCCTGGTGACCTGTAGTAGGGGTAAAGTGGGAGCAGGGGACCTGGCAGGTCTATTCAAAGTTTGATTTATGAGCCAGGCACAGAGCAGGACCGCTGCCATGGATCCCTCTCTGGCTGGACTCCTCTCCTAGAAAACCCTCAGTTCTCAGCCTCCTCTTCCCCCTCCTCTGGCACTTGATTACAGATCTCAAGAAATATCATGTCCAGCCAGCCGGGCATTGGTGCCTCACACATGTCTTCCTACCTACTCAGGAGGCTGAGATCTAAGAATCATTGTTTGAAGCCAACCCCGGGCAGGAAAGTCCCTGAGACTCTTGTCTCCAATGAACCACCAAAAAACCAGAAGTGGCGCTGTGGTTCAAGTGATAAAGCATCAGCTTTGAGCACAAAACACTTAGGGACATTGCCCAGGCCCTCAGTTTCCTCTCTGAGGCCAGCCATGTGCACATGTAGGTTTTAGGGATATCGCCCTAGGACCAGCCTCCCCCCCCAAAAAAAAAGCAACACAAAGCAAAGCAGAGTGAAATGGAGTGGCACCCACAGCTCTGGGTTCAGATTCTGACTTGCATTAACTTTCCAGAACCTGGCTGTTGTCTTCAGTGGGATGAAGTAGCAGGATGGGTCTGAGAGCGGGGTTTGCTCAGATGGGAACAGCAGGTCCACACCATGAAGCTGGCACCTAGCTGGCCTGGGTGTTAGGAAGGTGTCAGATTGGGTACTTCCTGCCATTGCCTAGCTGCCCTCGACTCTGGGTATGGCGGGGGGGGGCGGTTACAGAGAGAACACAGAAATTAGAACCTGGGGTGACCAGTCGAGCGGAGAATCTCTCTTGTGGATCTCATCACAACCTCTTGTGTATATGTGATATTTAGTCATATATGAAAATAAATTTTACAGACCCAAGGAGAGTTAATGTCTTTATTTTTTTTTAATATTCTCAATACACTCAGGGTTTTATTTCCTACTCCACCTATTAGTGTAATTTAGTAGAGGACAGACTGTATACTAACCAAAAACTTGCTTTCATGTTATGAAGAATGAAGAGGTAGAGATTGGCTGCATAAACACTGCTATTCTTCCCACATGCATGCATGCCTGCCTGACTTCCTTCCTTCCCTCCCTCCCTCCCTCCCTCATTCCTTCCTTCCTTCCTTCCTTCTTTCTCTATGTGTCAGTCCTGGGGCTTGAACTCAGGGCCTGCATATTGTCTCTGAGCTTTTTTGCTCAAGGCTAGTACTCTACCACTTAAGCCACAGCTCCACTTCTGGCATTTTTGGGCAGTTCATTGGAGATAAAGAGTCTCATGGACTTTCCTGTCCAGGCTGACTTTGAACCATGACCCTCATATCTCAGTCTTCTGAGTAAGCTAGGATTCCAGGCATGAGCCACTGATACCTGGTTTCTAGACTTCTTCTGAGAATCTTTTCTCTTGATCTTTCCTCTCTGTCTCTGTTCTTTGTCCCCAGACCCACAGTGGCCATCATATATATCTTGACGCTGTCATTCCAGGAAGGCCCAGAGCAAATGTCATCCATCAGTTTAGTTTTCATGATGGGGAGATGACTCACTGAGGATCTGTGTTGGAAAGGGTTGAGGTTGATTAATGATGTCTGCAATTGGTGTGGGCATAGGAGGAAGGGAAAGGGGTGAGATTTGGTCCTATCTGGAGCAGCTTCCTGGACAGAGTTTTCCCCTCTGGGACCAGCGTAGGGCTTGTGCCCTGGGTATATGTAGGTCTGTGACTAGAACTATCCTATGATCCAGTGATTCCACTGTTGGGCACATAAAAGATGACAAGTCAGGACACTTGCACAGCCATGTTCAATGTGGCCTCTGTTCACCATTGCCAAGTTGTGGAAATGGCCTGGATGCCCCACAATGGATGAATGCATCAAGAAAATGTGACACGTATGTACATGCATGCACACACACATACACGCATGCACACGCACATGCACGCATGCACACGCATGCATGCACACACATGCACGCATGCAACACGCATGCACGCATGCACACGCACACATGCACACGCACATGCATGCATGCACACAATGGAATTTTAACCATCCATAAGGAAGAAT